TTGAATTAAGATGTGTTGGTATTTGAAAAAAAAAAGAATTGGGACACGAATGACTTTTTTTGCACAGAAATAAAAATAGGGGTAAAATACCTTTCTACTGTTTTGGCCCACTTATTCAAGTTTTTCGTAAATCAATCTTTGAAAAAAGTAAAAACGGCCTCAAAAATCTCATTATTACGATCCCGTAAAAAAGATTTTTAAATATTTGTATGCAGATTTTTTAAGTTTGATCTGTTTTGTCATCTTTGGGGACTTTTTTCAAAAAGTTCTTTACGAAACTATTTTTATTCATAAAAGACTCAATTTTTGGAGGTATTTTCAAATCGGTCCAGCTCACGTAAATCTTAATATTTTTCTGAAATGGACGTCTTAGAATATAATATATTTTTTTTATCCCAGCGGAAAAACCGCAACTTTTTCATGATGCAGTTTTTCTAATCCGAAAAGTCTTAAAATACTAGGCCGATTTCAATGATTTTTATTTTATGTGAATTTACAGTGACCCAAATGTAAACTGGGTCGCGACAGTTTAGCTTATTATTGTTTTATGAAAGTATAGCTGATTACTTACAAATACCATTTAAATCCAAATTTCACATTTAATGCAAAAATTATGATAATTCTGCATTTGTCTTTATTTAAAATTTTAATATAGTTAAATGCAAATTTAAGGTAGCTGGCACTTACCGTTGTTTTTTGGCAATTTTTTGTTGACGGTGTTCCATATAAAAAATGTTACATAGAACATACTTTATATGGAAAAACACGTAACACCGTTATTAAAAAAAAAAATACAAAAACCAACGGTAGGTCCTAGCTACTTCAACTTCACCATATTATACTAAATTTTAATGGACTACAAATTTGCATACATACCATTTTGTAAAGATGCTGATTAAAAAGTTAATAATTGGGTCACTGTATTTTCTCCAAAAAGGACGTAGCGGGGACTTTCCTTATACAATTTTTGCTATGAATGGCTTAAATTTAAGTGCGAAGTTTTATTCGCAACACTTAGAAAATAACGAATGAGAATAAAAGAGCACGAATATCGATGTGATGCAAAAGTCTATGGGAAGACAATAGCTGTGAATAACTGTATAATGGTGCCAACATACTTTATTGTTGCTTATTATTGCTCTCAGACAGGCATGTAAGAGAGTGAGTATGACATTAAAATCATACAATACATACAATTAAATAATTGAATCGTTAAAAACTTAAAAAGCGACCG